CCGTCTGCTCAACTCTACAACCTGAGCCATTATAACATTAATGTTAAAACAGCTGGCCACTTAATGCTTCAGCTCAACGCAGCAGCAGAGCTGAAATAAATATTATATTACTCGGGCAGACCAACGCTCGGTAGCATGAAGTGCCAAATCATAGTGCACAACAAACATCTGCTGCAGGACTCCTCAGAGTCTGCGTCTAAAAACAGTACACGAACAAGAGTTGGAAGCATAAGCGGCAAATCAAATGAACGTGACTGCATTAGTACAGCGCAGCAGGTAACGTTAGAGAGAGAGGGGAAAAACCGCCTACTCACTGTTATAGCTTGCTATAAGAAATACAATACCTTGTCAGGCTCTTCCACTTATTTGTTTCAGCTCAATGCGTGTCGGTAATCTCTGCCAAGAGACCAGAACACATTTCAACTCTGCTCAGGGGTCACACCCATTAGTTCCAAAAATCCTGATGGGGATGTCCAAATCATGCCCGCCAGAGAGAAGGGGATTAATTCTGTTCTCTCACTCTCTGTACACTCGGGCTCATCGCCGTCACCCCAAGCGTCGAGCTCGTGCGGTGCCTCGGCAACCGCAGAACTGGAACAGCGGGGGTTGAACGAACATCTTCCCTCCTCAGAAAGAGAGCGAGCCCAAAGCGCAACTTACTCACAAACACAGATATCACGGATACAACAATAGATGAAGGCCGCAAAGCGGTCTTCCTACCCGTTTCCTAGTGAGTCCGTGTAACATGCATCCATACATACCGGAAAACTCATTGTGTCCGCCTTAGAGGAGTAAAGATCTTCGCAAATTAGCATGGCAAAGGCCTTATGATTACACTCAGATCCGATTAAAAACGTAGGATGAGTTCGTTAAAGTACGAGGCCTGAAAATGACAAAAACTGCCCAAAAATCATACAGGAAATTCAAAATAACGGACTTCCTGTTGGGTTTCGGATTTTGAGCACCAGTACCAGTACTACCTCTTTATATTGGTTTCTTGTCTGGTTATTGAATAATACATACGTGTCGTGAAACATAGCTCGAGCTTGTAAATTTTCGCCAGTTCTGATGCGTGTGCAAAGTTTCATGAGTTTTGGAGCATGTTTAGGCCCTCAAAAATGCGATTTACTTTGAAGAAAAAGAAGAAACGGAGGGCCCTAATAATTACAAATGAACGAGGAAGATCCTGATTACAGGCGATTAAAATTACATAGTACACTGTGATACTCATTTTTTATTGTTATGTAATATAAAAAAGTTGAATACTTTTATTCAGCGAGGATGCATTAAATTGATCAGAAGTGACTATAATATGTAAAATGCTACAAAATATTTCTGTTTTAAATAAATGCTGTATTTTTGAGCTATTTAAAAAATGTATCATGGTTTCCACAAAAATATGAAGCAGCACAACTGTCTTCAACATTGATGATAATCAGAAATGTTTCTTGAGCAGTAAATCAGCATTTTAGAATAAAAAATTCAGCTTTGATCACAGGAATAAATTACATTTAAAAATATATTAACATAGAAAACGAGTTATTTTAAATTGTAATAACATTTCACAATATGACTAATTTTACTGTATTTTTTGATCAAATAAATGCAGCCTTGGTGAGAATAAGAGACTTCTTTCAGAAACAATAAAAAATCTTACCACCCCCAAACCTGGAACAGTAACGTATATATAACTCTTTTCATCTTTACACTGTAAATTTCTTTGTATTTTCATATACTTTAAATATTCAAAGTTTTGTATTTGACAAACATTCTTAAATATTATTTAGAAAATTATTTGATGATTTGCATAATGGTTTTACCAAACCAAATAAATGCGCACAATATAATTTTGGTCTGAAAATGGGTTTAATAATTAAATAATGAACCCACTCTCTGCTCCACAGCACTGCTGTAAGATCTAAGTGCGATGTAACAAACACAAACACAAAGACATAATACTGAACAACATCAGCACACTAGGCAGATAACGGTCAGTCAAACACAAGCATGCATGATGAGCTTGTCTTGTGCGCCTGAGGCCTTCTCACTGAGAGAAGAGCGCTTGGACAAAATCAGCATTATTACTGCATGACAGTTAAGATGCGCAGGCTCTGGTGTGGCTGAAGTGCTTTAGTGGGATGACACTGCGTATGTTAATGGCATATAGGTGCTCTGCTGTGTAGTATGGATTTGACTTGAATGATTCTCTTGATCATGACAGAGCGAACACCGCTGTGTGTGTGTGTGTGTGCAGGGCCGTGTTGTCTGTATCGGATCATTTTCCAGTGCTGGCCAGGATATTAAATGACACTTTCATATAACAGTGTGTTTTTATTCTCTTCTGCCTTCGGTAGAAGTCTGGCTTCATTCTCATGTGGAAGGAACTCAAGGTGATGTCGACCCCAGATAGGTGTTGTCAGATGCTGCCAACGCTGAACAGAGAGAAACACAGAGTCACACATACTGAACATCACTGCATACAACAACAGACCAGAGATTCATGCAACTATTGGTGAGTAACTAGAAGTCGTTTGGCATCAAATGAGTTATTATCGGTAAATAAAACTAAAATAATCTAAATAAAAGTTTACTACTTACCATTAAAACTACATCAAACCATGAGTAGCTTTTAGCTTGATATGCTAGTTTTTTGCATAATGAGCAAAGTAGCAACACACACACACACACACGTGACAGTCGTACCTCCATGAGAGAGCCTTTGCAGTGCAGCAGTTTGTAGAGGACGGTGAGAGGAATGCAAAGCATGGATGAGAGCGCGAGAAAACAGCCCAGCACCTCACCCCACCACGGGTACACATACACCGCATTATACACTAATCGCTTGTAGTTGACCACATGAAACAAGAAAACAGCCTGCAAAACACACAAACACGCTTTTAATACCCTCTCAAGAATATGAAACCCCATGCTGATTCATTATTGCATGGAAAAACCCACCATACACACAACCGGAGTGACGTAAGACCAGCACCACTTCATATACGGCAGAGGACGATAGCCGATCATACAGGCCACATTGTCCATGAAGCGATCCGCACCTTCAGAGAGAGTCAGAGAATGAGAGGGAGGTGTTTCTGGGTTAACACAAAGACTCTATATGTGTATCTGCATGCTCACCGTGATTTCCCCAGATGTGACATGTTCCTGAATCAGTATCCTTGTTGGCATGAGAGAATATTAATATAAACCAGGGGTTCCCAAACCTTTTTGGTAGCCGAACCCCTTCAGTGTATATATTTACTTCAAGTATGCGTGAGATTTTAAGTTAGTATTTCAGTAATTTAACATCTATTTGCATGTTCGCGGCAAGGTTATTGTAGTCGACTAAAAATAAAACCATAAAAAAATGTTACTTGAAATACAATAAATATTATGTTTATATAAAAACTGTTATAAATAAAATTATATATATAATAAAATAAAAAAAACTAGACAAACTCTGGAGAGGAGCAATTTGCTAAATACAGGTGCATCTCAATAAATTAGAATGTCGTGGAAAAGTTAATTTATTTCAGTAATTCAACTCAAATTGTGAAACTCGTGTATTAAATAAATTCAATGCACACAGACTGAAGTAGTTTAAGTCTTTGGTTCTTTTAATTGTGATGATTTTGAAATTTCTGGATTTCATCGCTGCACGTAAGGTTACACTTATGAAAAAGAAGTGTGCTTAATTGTACTGAATGTGCACTTGTAGTGTACTTCACATCTTGAAAGGTACATTAAAAAACTACTTGCAGATAATGTAATATTAATGAAATAAAAGGGTACTTAAAGGCATATTTCACCTTCAGTTGCTGGTACCTATTGACTTGCATAATGTTTTTTTTTCCCCCATACTATGGAAGTCAATGGGGACCAGCAACTGAAGGTGAAATATGCCTTTAAGTGTACTTAGAGTAAGTACACTTTCACTTTAATGATTATGTTTTCTTAACACACTTAAGTACACTTTTAAAAAGCAATCTTGTGTTGTGCTTTAACATACACTTATTTTGATGTGTTGACTAACATACTAAAGCACATGTAAAGTACGTGATTATAATTTGAACTGTAGTGTGTTTATTTGATATTACATTTAAAGTTAATATATTTTAAATGTACTAAATTGCAACTTCATTATAAATGCATAATTACACACATTTAAACATTTCAATATACAAAGACACATTTAAATTGAATTTTAGACATTTTAGTTTAGTTTCGTTTTAGTTGATAATAAATACTTGTCAGTACATTTAGAAAAAAAATTTCAAAGACAATAGAATTTATTATGAAATTACATATAGGCCTGGCTTCACAGTCAGGGCTCAGACTAAGCCAGGTTTAGGCCCATAGTTCAATTAGACATTTAAGTATCTTTTATAAATGTTCCTTAGAAAAAAACATTACTGGTGTGCATCTTGAGACAAAACAATGGCACTAATATATTTTAAGATATGTCAGCGCAAGTTTCTTTCAGTTAAAACAGCTCAGACATGCATTTTAGTCTGGGACTATAGGCTTAAGCCTTGTCTGTGAAACCGGGGGATAAAGATGTATTTAAGTCCTACTTAAGTGGGTCAAAAAAAGCTATCTAATTGCATTTAATATAAATTTACTAGTGCTGTCAAATCGATTAATCGCGATTAATCGTATCCAAATTAAAAGTTTGTTTGAATAATATGTGTGTGTACTGTGTATATTTTTCTATATACAGTGGGTACGGAAAGTATTCAGACCCCCTTAAATTTTTCACTCTTTGTTATATTGCAGCCATTTGCTAAAATCATTTAAGTTAATTTCCCAGACCAATAGCATAAGAAAAGAAGATTTGCGTGGCAGCATCAATCCATACCTGCCATCATAACCATCATGACAACAAGAATTATATAACCATGTCACTTGCCTCTAGTGTTGGCTTTAAAACTTCAGTACATGGGTGAATCTTTGCTTACTGTTGAATCTTAATGCTGAAAAAAATAGATTTTAATTTTGCATGCACTCTTCTATGACTTTCATTGCCTGATTCTTTTTCAAAATAGTAACTGTTTGTTTACTCTTGAAAGCACTTGCATATTTTACTTGACCAGCCAGAAGTATACAGTTTTTAGCATGTTTTAAGATAAATTAATAATAATTAAAAAAAGAGTCACATCATTTTTGCCAAATTTGATTTACAATTTATTTGGGCCAAAAAAAAATCTTTAAAAAAACTCTCTCTATTACTGCTTTGATAATGCTTTACATTCTATATTTATTTATGAAATGTGGGATTGCTGGGACATGGTTTGCAACATAGAATACGCTTACACTAGTGCGTTTTCATTTTAAAACGCATAACTTTTGCCACGGTTACACCTGTCATTTACACTACCCCGGAGACTTTCGAAAACGCTGCAGACCCTGTTTTAGTTTGAAAACACCTGCAGACACGCACAAAAATATATATATATACATACCTTTTCTTTTATGGTAGCCTATGTAAATATCGTACCATTAACTCTATATGCAAGGACGGATTATGACTTGCAGAGGCCCCGGGGCCAATTATCTCCAAGGCCCCCCACCATACCATTTCCCCCCCGTTCTTTCCCTTAGTTGTGCATTCACAGTAATAGAAAGTGGAAGTTATGATCATGAATATTCAAACTGTTACTCCGCGTCAAATGCCTGCGCTACCCTGCGCTATAAAAGCACATTGTACAGGGTTTACAGAATCAATATAGGACTAATACTACACTTTTCTGATATTTTTCTCTCTACAAGTCTAATAGCTACAATGAATAATCAACAATGCGGCAAATTGAAGCGTATGAAACACGTCTTTAATGAATTAACTGTCTAATATACACATAGGCCTATTTAATGCATCATGAATCAAAAAATTATTTGTCACTAAACAACTCTGTGACAAACATCACATGTAAAGTTTAAACATCAGATCATTACGTATAAGAAAATGCAATTTAAAAAAAAACACAATTACAAAAATTTTTTGCAGGTCCTGACAATTATACAAACCAGCATGGTTACTGAAACAATTTCTTACAGGAGATTCTTTCTTGTCTTCCTCCTCGCGAAGTCATCCACCACTTCATCGAAACTGAGCTCTTTTAAGAGTTCGGACTC